AGAAAGAATATGTGCAAAATAATTGTTGGTATTCATTATAAACTTTTATACTATGTTAAATACATTTTCTGATAACTTGACATATTTTTGGCTCCAAATGCATGACAAATGCCCCTCTTTTTATGTTTAAAAATCCAAAAACAATAGCTGTCACCTAAACCAAATGGCCTGGGGTCCAAAAGACCCCAAAAGTCCTGAATAGTTAAGAAGAAGCCATGTGAGGGGCAGACCAGTGAACCGAGACAGGGTCAGGGGGACAGTTCTGAGGACCGGCATCCAGCAGCTGTAGCCCATCTTCAGCACCAGGTGAAACGCAGAGCAGGACAGACAGACATTCCTCAGAGCAAATTAAGAACAACATTGTTAATATAAAAGAGGAGAGCATTGTGCTGATGTGTGTATTTTAATTCACCCTGAGCCATCAGGTTGTTATTAACATGAGTCTTCACGCTGTGAATCAGTCTGAGTGTCATGAGTTGCTTTTGAAAGAAGCAATTATTGTTCATTTCATATTGTACAAGTGACTGGCGACCTGTCAAGGGTGTCCCCTGCCTTCGCCCTAAGTCGGCTGGGATAGGCTCCAGCCCCCCCACGACCCTAGTGAGGGATTAAGTGGTGTATAGATAATGGATGGATGGATATTGTACAAGTACGTTCTGACCAGAAACCTTTTCCAGATCATGTTTATTTTGTTAGATCTATTTAATCAGGTTAGATCTATATTTAGTCATACAATGTGAGTACAAGTAAAGAACATTTCTCGAGAAATTTGGCTACATCTACGAATAACGCAGTAACTGGGTGCCCCCCAAAATATATCATTGGCCCCCCCTAAAAGTAAAACCTAGAATCGCCACTGCAAATACTCCACAACTTTTCTTCTTCAAGACTATTTTGATAGAAAGAGAAACCAAAGTGTATCAGTGTGATTTGTGAAGTCTCATACTGACGTAGTTTCAACTCGCCTCTATACTGCAAAAAAATTATACAATTCCTAAAATTTGAAAGCTTATGCTCGTCTTAAAAGTGGGATAACTACAGACGTTCTAAAAATGCTTGGTGATAACACTGTTAGACCGTTAAGATGAACCTTAAACAAGAAGACATACAATGGGGGGTTCCGAAGATAACTTTTTGACATTTTTGGATAAACCCTTCACACAGGTACAGCAGTGAATAAATAAATAAACAGACTCTGGCCCTGGAGATGCATCAGGACATCTGACATTCCAGACAACAATGTTTTTACTCAACCTAGTGTCATACCTCAGATACCTTTTTGCCCTTTTAATTTTATCTTTTATTTTTTTAATGTATTTATTTACTTATTTTTATTCTATTCTTTATTGGTCTATTATTATGTGCATTATAGTGGGCTGAGGGGTACGTGCTGGAATTACACTGCTTTAACATGGTAAAGCATTCAAGTGAGTGACAGCAGGGGATGGGGGCCCCAGGATGCTGAACCTGTATGACTCTAGAATTCAATCAAAAGAACTTTGAAGACAAACATTGTTAGACCATTATGCCCAAACTTACTCAAGTTGTTTAACGTTGCTTTGAGAATGTCCCTCCTTTGTCATCATGTAACATCGTGGTACATTGTGGGAATGTTTTCCAGAAGAACATCCTGTAACGTGTTCCCTCTAAAACGTTGGTTCTCAGACGTTCTGCTGTGTTTTGCTACAATGATGCTGCACCAGAGTTTGTCTTTCTAAGCAGTTCACTACTTTTATTTACATACACATCAGGAAAAAGTACCAAGGTCCAGACAACGGGGACCTCAATGGTGCATATTTCCATGCCACCGCCCCACACTGTGTTTTGATCAATTTATTCATTTGTCATTATTGGGCTAGGCAGTTAGTTTATACAAATGAAGCACTACGAATTGACTATTTGTTTAGTTAGATAGTATCTCTCGTTATTTTGCCATTAGAATATTTTTTTTGTTTTGTATTTGTCTTAATAACATTCACAGCCATCTGAAGGCCTCCCTGGCAGCTCTCTGTGGCCCCCTAGTGGGCCGTGGCCCCCATGTTGAGAACCACTGCTCTAAAATAATCCCAAAACAGCCTCAAGATATTATAATATTCCACCTTTTATTTAATGTATCACAGGAATATTTAATTTTTTTTTTTTTTAAAAAGCGTCATCAGAGGCCTCAACAGAATCTTGATATTTGTTTTCTTTTATGTATGTTTGAGAAAGTTCTTTCTATTCTAGTGTTTTCTTGAAAACATTATTCGAACCTTCAGGAACCAAGGCTGCTGTGGGAACATTGTGTGCCTGCTGAGATTTGGACAGCGCGTGAAAAAACTTCTGGAGCCACCGCGATAATGAGACATGTTCTGCTTTCTGAGAAAAAGACAGACAGAAGCCAGTTAAACGTGTCTGACAACGATATAATACCGCTAATAATAATTATATACATGCGGAAATGAACTAAGAATAACAAGACAGCGCTGGGAGGAGGCAGAGCAGCTGTTATTTTCCTCTCCTGGATTCGGACACACCCGGAAGTGGGCGGGAAACTCGCCTCCGCTGGTTCGTTGCTCGGCGTCGCTTTTCTTCGGGAATTTTATCTCTACGCTGCTCATCATGTCGTCCACTGTGAAAAAACTGGAAGTCACCTTTAATCCCATCAACAAGAACAACACATTTACCTGTGGCGACACCGTTTGTGGGCAAGTCGCGCTGGAAGTGGCCAAAGACTGTGAGATAGAGTCTCTGTCCATTAAATTCAAAGGAAAAGCAGAAGTTCTGTGGACCGAGAGACACGGAAAAACCACTGTTACTTACCACTCCAAAGACAAATACTTCAGCTTTAAACATTACTTCACTGGAGGCGGAAAAGAGGGTAAGTCTGCTTCTCTTTCTGCTGCACGGAGGTTTGCATGAAAACTGAGATTATTTTTTGCAATTAAACTTTTAAAGGTTTTGCAGGTGGGGGGGTTGCAAAAGTACAAAAGTGTGCAAATAAATGCTGCGCAACAGACAGAAATTGGAAAACAGGCAACAGATATTCAACACATTGTTCACAGTAAAAAGAGCATGCAATGTCAGAATAGATAACGATGTGAAAACAGATTTCTACAATGTTGTGTAAACTACTAAAAATATAAAATAACTTATTGCACAAGTATTCTCCCCCCCCTTAAACTGACTCATGTAATTCAACACCGGTGCAGGTAAATTGAAAAAATATGGCGCATGCGTAAGTCTGCCAAGAGCAGGTCGTCCTGAAAAACTATGGGACCATGCAAGAAACAAACTAGTAAAAAGGGAGGCCACAAGGACATTCATGACTCCGCTGATGGAGTTACAAGCTTCAGCAGGTGAAATGGGAGAGTGTGCACATACTTTGTCCTGTTCTCCACCAGGCAAAGCTTTATGTTAGACAAAGCCACTGTTGAAAAAACCCCCTCATACTAAACTCTTGTCTACAGTTCAACAAAGAACATGTGGGTTTGGTGGACGCCTGCACATCATAACAAACAAACCATCCCCATTGTGAAGCACGTTGGTGGCAGCATTATGATGCAGGGATGGGCATGTGAATGTGAAATGACTGCAGCAAAGCACACGGAAATCCTGGCGAGCAAGATAACGGTCACTTGGGAGGAGGTTTGTTTTCATGCAAGTCAATGACCTGAACCATGCAAAGCTACACAGAAATGGTTTAACGACAACAAGGTTCATGTTCTGGAGTGGCTGAGTCAGAGCACAGACTTCAATCCAACTGAGAATTTGTGGCTGGGCTTGCAACATGGCAGAGTTTAGAACAGTTTTGAAACAAAGAATGGGGAGAATATCAGTGTCCAGATGTGCAAAGTTAATTGAGACCCATCCACGTGAACTCAAGTGATTGCAGTGATTACAGCTAAAGGTTCATCTAGTAAATACTACTAAATACTAACGGGGTGAATACTGTTTCAGTTACTCGTTTTATGACTTAGATTTTGTATTGACTTTACTGTGTAGAAATCTGTTCTCACTATGACACTAGAACGTCTTTATATGTAAATTATTATCAAAAAAGCCCAATTGTTTTTACCATGTTAAATGTTGAAAAGCAACGAGTGGAAAACTTGCAAAGAGGATGAAAACGTGTGTATATTACACAGAGCTCCAGTCTAACTTTTTCACTTTCTCATTTGGTCACACCTCCCACCTTGTCAGTAAATAATAATATAATATAATATAATATAATATAATATAATATAATAAACAGTGCTAATGTTATTAGTCCTGAGATGGCCTACTATCAATCTGAAGTGAAATGGATTTGTGATAACAGGGATTTCTTTTAATAGTAGTCTGAAGTTGGAGGAAATACATCCTAGATATGCTATTTTGGTGGACTCTTATTTTGAAATGCGACATCAGCTTGGGCTGATACTTTGTGAGTGACATCCTGAGATGGCCTACTATCAGTCTGACATGGAATGAGTTTGTGATGACAGGGGGTTTCATTTTTAACTGCCGTCTGAGTTTACAAAAAGAAAAAGTTATTTTGTTGGGCTTTTATTTTGAAATGATGTGTTGCTATTATTAGTATTGTTATTAATGTTAAGACAGTGACTGAAACTGTGAGGTGCTAATGCTTTTACATACACATCTGACATTTGCTTACAGTTTGCAGACAATAAGTATTATTCTTCAGGAATTAATGTATTCATAATGCATTTATTTACAAGGTTTTTAGGTATGACTGATATTTTATTTAGATTAACTCAATGAAGGTGGAATGCCATTCACTGGAAAATCACTTTTTGATTCTGAAATCAGTTTGAATACACTCTTACGGTAATGCTTGATATCCACAAGCATCACGAAACAGACGCTACGTTCAGACAGCGGGCTAAAGTGACCCAAATATGATTTTTTATTTTTTTTTGCCCCTATGTGACCTGTATCTGATCTTTTCATGACAGTCTGAACAACACAGATCAGATTTTTTTCAAATGCAACCCAGGCCACTAAATCTGATAGGTATCTGATCTTTTGCCATGCGACGGCCAGGTCGCATTTATCTGACCTACACGTAAATGTAAATGGTCTGCGCTTATATAGCACTTTTACCCAAAGCGCTTTACAATGTGTTTGTCATTCACCCATTCACACACACATTCATACACCAATTGACTCTATCAAATGGTTGCAAGTTCACATGAGCTCATGAATTGATGAATTGTTTGAGCATTTTGTCAGACAACGATGCCAAACATTCTCTGCTTCTAGCCCATGAATTGTGAGGGCATTTTTGGACCAATTATAAATTAATTATTCAAGAATATAATCTGTGGTTGGACAATTTCAAAAAAATAGTTAATTATGTAAATAACTATTCAGATTTATTTTTTTTCTTCTGCCTAAATATTGTGTCTTATTCTGTTGATTCAGTGTGTTTCTTTTTTTTTCAGAGGGTGACGAACAAACTCTACTGCCAACCCAGAACCTAAATACGTGTAAGTATTTCAAAGTTGTGTCTTAACCTGTTGTTGGACTCTCTTCTGCTTTTTTCTATACGCCTGCGATTGTGTGTTTTCAGTCCACAGTAGCTTGGACAGTGGTGGCTGGTGAAATTTTTTGGTGGAGGGGCACAGTCTGCAAATGACCTTTTATTTTAAATCAGAAATTACAATATGAGTAACATCAGGCACAACTGTTTACAGGAATACAAATGATCTACTTTTGGAGAATATTTTAATCATAATCTAATTTAACATTATTAAGATTTACCAGAACTAAATTTCAAAACCATTCATTAAACTTTTATCAATATTTACAGAATCTGTACAAACTCAAAACACACAACATAAATAATGAAAAAAAAACACTATTCAGGGCTCCAGATGAACTTTTTCACTGGTAGCACTATCACGACCCACTTTCGCATTTTGTTGCACCTCCCACCTGGTCAACAAAACGTATGACTTGCTGAACACTTTCTTATCGATAGACTCTACGAACGCCCCACATAGCAGGCTGTGGTAGATGCTGTTGATGGCTGTGGTGTGCTTTGACAGGTGTGTGAGCAAAAATGACTTTAAAAATAATAAACTACGGTGTCCTCATGTCAGAAATGAAACCAAGTTACATGTATTCTACACGCAGTCTTTTCTATGAGCGGAAAAACAGCGAAGGCAGGTGTGCTCCGTTTTTCACGAGAAGACCTCATTTTTATGCGTTAATACTGCGGTACACCGAAGTTATAAAAGTACTACTTTCCACCACTGTGGTCAACACAGCAGCTTCCTGTGCCGGTTACAGTGACACTAATACAGCTTCATGATCATCACGCTCATCAATTCAAACACTCTCAAAAAGGAGGTTGCAAATGCAGGCTGGAGCTATTTGAAAAAACTTGGCTCTTCTCTCTTTCTGCTCAGCAAACTTCTCTATGACTTTTTGGTTGAAGTCACTCATTTCTGTGACCAGCCTTCTCTCCATTGACAGCATTAAGCCATCACGACAGTAGCTGTCATCTAGTAGAAGAGGAGGGAAAAGGCTGTGTGACGGTGTGAGATGTATTTAAAGCACAGTCGTAAGAACATCGAAGGACAGTTTTGATATCCAACCACAGAAGACAAAAGCAAATCAAGACAAAATTAATTGGCTTACAGCAAAAGTGGACGGGTCCGGGACGCACTGAGCTGCGCCCCGTGAGAAACTCTGCAGCTGCCAATCAGAGCTCAGGCCGAGGTCACATGATTACGAAACGTTTTTCGAGCTACATATACACTCATGTGGGCGGCGCCCCGCATCCAGGAAGTGTAGAATTAGTAAACACGCAGTGAAGACTAATATTAAATCTGTTAATAATACAAATATTGTTAATATAACAAAAGTGTATGAACGTTATTATTAATTTAATTATTATTTTGTTATAATTAATTCAAATTTAATATTGTGTTTGAGAACTACTTTTTATCTGGTCATTAGTAGTGGGGCGGTGCCGCTGTGCCCCGTATGGACCAGTCGCCACTGATCTTGAAACTGTTGTATTTTTTAAGATTTTAATTGCTTGTCTGCACAAGTAAATTAAATTTCAGTGACCTGAGAGCCTGAGTGCTTGTTGACCAATCCGATGTCCCATTACAAACCATAAAGGATCTCTAAAGACATTCAGTTTTGCAGGTGTGCATTTCCTCTCTTCTGTCTGCTGCAAAGCTTGAGAAACTGTTCCTGGAAAGAAACCCTTGTCGTTTTAAATCTTTGATTACATCTGACCGATTCCTTTGGAGGTGTGCAGCTTTCATTTAAATAGAAAACTGCATCATATCTTTCTCATCTAAAGTGGCCTGTCCACACTTCTAACAGCTACACAGTAAATCTACACTACCGGTCAAAAGTTGTAGAACCACCAGTGTCAGAATAAGAAAAAGAGACATGCATGGGCCATGAAACACTGCCAATGGACTACCGACGACTGGAAGAAGGTGTTATGGACGGATGAATCAAAATTTGAAATGTTCGGTTGATCACGCAGGATTTTTGTATGCCGTCAAGTAGGCGAAAGGACGGTTCCTCAGTGTGTGACATCAACTGTCAAGCATGGAGGAGGAAGCATGATGGTCTGGGGCTGTTTAGCTGGATCCAGGGTTGGTGGCTTGTATAGAGTGAGAGGCACCCTGAGCCAAAATGGCTACCACAGCATTCTGCAGTGCCATGTAGTACCTTCTAGCATGCACCTAGTTGGTCAAGGGTTCATCCTACAGCAAAATAATGACCCAAAACATAAGTCCAAGCTATGCCAGAACTACTTTAGGGAAAAAAAACCCAAAGTGATAAGCTTGAAAACAGGGAGTGGCCAGCATAGTCTCCAAACTTAAACCCCAATCGAGCTGATTTGACATGAACTGGACAGAAGAGTGAAAGCAAAGCAACCTGTAAGTGAGACACATTTATGGCAACTTCTGCAACAGAGTTGGGAAGAACTTTCTAAAGAATATTTGATTTCCATTGTGGAAAGCATGCCACAAGTGTGTTCAGCTGTTATGTCTGCCAAATGTGGCTACTTTGATGAGTACAATGAGACATTCAACTGCATAAATTACAACAAAAAATTGAAAAAATGGGGTATTCTAAAACTTCTGACCAGTAATGTATGTCTCTATGTTTTTTCCCCTCTACCATTTTCATTCCTTTTCTCTTGACCAATACATTCACTTTTTTTTTCTTCTTTTTTTTAGACAGCAATGTTGTTGCCCCAGGAACCCATGTCTACCCGTTCTCTTTTCAGATCCCTTTCCAGTAAGAAATTTTTTGTTTTGTTTTGTTTTTTTTAAGTGATCCATAATTAGAGCAGACAGACAGCATAAGCCTGTGAATACATCTTAATAGATCAGCCTTGTATTTTGCAACTACAGTCACAGAAAAGGAGGCAACCTTCTGGAATTATCTGCATTTATGCATTGGTTTGTCTTAAAATATGGTCAGATCTTCACTCCTTAACAAATCAAACACAAATGATTGAACACTCTTTCATTCACAGAGTTGGCTGGAAAAAGTAAAACGAAACTTCTGCATGAACAAAAGCTAATTTGAGTCAGGAGTTGGCGATCCTGGAATCTTACATATGGCATACCAACATCATCGCAGCAGTGAGCTA